TGGGGACCCCTCACGATGTTTCAGGGGGTCCTTGGAAGATGACTCCGAGAGGGCCCCCGATCCTCCAAGATGGCCATCAATATGGCTCGACGGCTTTCGACATGCCTTCAAAATTCCCCAAGAGGATCACAAGATGGCTCCAAGCGCTCTCGGTGCCCCCTCTGGACTTTCCCAAGAGGCCAGAATCCTTAACAACCTAAAGGAAGTCAATGATTGTTGCCGTCTCGCCTTTTCGCTTCCGACGGGCTTCTGAGGCCTCAAGATGACCCCAAGATGGCACAAGAGAGCCCAAAGCGGGGCCTCAGATGCCTCCGAGGCGGCCCAAAGGCCGCCCAAGATTATTATCATCATTATTCATCCTCCTCCTCCTCCTCCTCCTCCTCCTCCTCCTCCTCCTCCTCCTCCTCCTCCTCCTCCTCCACCTCCTCCTCCTCCTCCTCCTCTCCTCCTCTCCTCCTCTCCTCCTCCTCCTCCTCCTCCTCCTCCTCCTCCTCCCCCTCCCCTTCCTCTCCTCCTCCTCCTCCTCCTCCCCCTTCCCCTCCTCCTCCTCCTCATCCTCCTCCTCGTCTTCTTTCTCGAGGCACGTTGGACGCTCTAGCAATATCTACTCCATGTTGTATCAAAAACACACACGCGCGGTTCGAGGATGCCACTGCTGAATGTATCTCCCAATGAAAGAGCCCCTTCTTTCGCCTTTAATGGAGAGGACCCCGAAAAGAGGGAAACCAAACTAAACCTTGTCTTCGACTAAGCTTGGTATCAAAGACGCCACCCAAAGGGAGGCTATTTCAGCCACCACATCGTCCTTGTCCCTGAAAGAAAAAAACACAAGACGACCCAAGAGGCAACCAAGACATTCTCAGCGAGCCCCCAGGACGGCCCAACATGGCCCACTCCCTCGGGCCGTCGCCTCACCATCAGCCTGCTGCGCGAGAGCTCCTCCGAGGACCCCCCCCCCACCCCAAGGAGCCGGTAACAACCTGAAGCGCCCAGCCCTCTCTTTGAATCGGCAGCACCAGCGAGCGCAGGCGCCTCAGGGCGGGACTAGCGGGCCGCGCCGGGCGCCGGCGCTCCAGAGCAGACGGAGAAGCGGAGGGCAGCCACGGAGGTGGAGGAAGGGGGGAAGTCGAGAGTCGACGGGGCGGCCGCGCGCCAGCGGCCCGAGAAGCATCCTCCCGCACGCGCGCCCTCAAACCCCAGACCTCTTGGAGACGGATTGGCCCGGGCCCACAAAACCGCCTCGGAGGACCAAAAAGACTACCCCGTGAGGCCCAAGGACAAGCCCGCTCCAAAGTCTTCCAAGAGAGTTCCGCCCCACAAAGACGCCTCCTCCTCCTCCTCCTCCGCCGCCGCCGCCTCCTCCTGCTCCCACTTGTGCGTAAACAACTTGGTGACTCCCTGCTCCTCGACATCCTCAGCCTCCCCCTCCTCGCGGGGAAAACATTTCCACCATGCCAGGACGGCGGCATTCAAGGCCAAGAGACGGAAGGCGGACCCCGCACGCACCCACGGAGCCCTGAAGAGCGACCTCGAGCATCTGCACGAAGTCCTTTTCCGTCTCCTGATCCTCCTCCTTCTTCCCAGTAGTCTTAGTAGCATTATTGTATCGCATGTATTCTTAATAACCGTAGTATCAGTATTCGTAGTAGTAGTAGTAATAATAGTAGTACTACAAGTATGCTTACTTTTCGCATTAGCAGTCTGATTCGCATTAATCGTAGACTAATCATAGTAGTACGGCGAATACTAATACTTGTATCACTAGTGGTAGTATTAGTAAAAGTAGTTGTTGTTGTAGTCGTAGAAGAAGAAGAGGTAGTAGTAGTAGCAGTAGTAGTCGTATTAGTCGTAGTAGTAGTAGTAGTAGTAGTACAGCAGCAGCAGCAGCAGCAGCAGCAGCAGCAGCAGTAGTAGTAGTAGTAGTAGTAGTAGTAGTAGTAGTAGTAGTAGTAGTCGTAGTAGTAGTAGTAGTAGTAGTAGTAGTAGTAGTAGTAGTAGTAGTAGTCGTAGTAGTCGTAGTAGTCGTAGTAGTCGTAGTAGTAATAGTAGTAGTAGTAGTCGTAGTAGTAGTAGTCGTCGTCGTAGTAGTAGTAGTAGTAGTAGTTGTAATAGTAGTAGTAGTAGTAGTAGTAGTGGTAGTAGTAGTAGTAGTAGCAATAGCAGTCGCAATATGCGTGTTAGCAGTATACGTGTTGTTAGTCGTGGTCGTCTCATGATTAGTACTAAGATTATTATTAGTAGTAGTGGTGGTAGCATTCGTATCATTATTAATAATCATACTAAGAATAAAATATGAATAATAACAATAGTGACGATATTGATATCACAAGCATTCGTATTATTCGTAAGTTTGATTAATTACTGGTATGGTTGGCATGATTCCTCGTAGTAATAGTAGCACTCGCACCATTAGCATCATGATTGTTATTATTATGTGTATCATTACTTGTTTGATTATTCATCTTAGTTTTCTGAGTAGTCTTCTAATTCTGCGTATTATTATCATTACACGTACTATCAATATGCCTCCTCATCATCATCATCATCATCATCATCATCATCATCATCATCATCATCATCATCATCATCATCATCATCATCATCATCATCATCATCCTGGCCCCTCCCCCTCCACCTCCACCTCCTCCTGCCCCCTCCTCCCACGGAGCCCCACAGAACGACCTCGAGCATCTGCACGAAGTCCTTCTCCGTGGCGTGCTTGAACTGCTGGAAGCACTGCAGCAGCGTGTTCCGCGAGGCCGGCTCCTCCCAGGGGGCGGCAAGAGGGAGGCCTCGCGGGGCCCTGCCGCCCGCCCGAGGCGATGCGGCACGCCGCCCGGCTGGCCGCTCCTCCCCCCGCCCAGCCGCGCCCCCCCCCCCTCGTCGCTGTCGTTGCCGCCCTCCCTGCCCCACCTCGCGCTGCCTCCCGCCAGACCGCTGCAGCAGCGCATGGAGCACCCACGGCCGCACTTCGGTGTCTGCCCGCCTGCCCGTCGGCTGCCGTGGGCGGGCCCGCCCGCCTGCACGCAGCCGACCGCCCTGCCGCCACTGGGGGCCAGTCTCTGACTGCTCGGGGCGCGCTCGCTGCCTTCTCCGGCCCAGGGTACAGAAGACGGTCCCACAGCGGCAGTGGGTCGGAGTACCCTTCACGACGACAATCGCTGCAGAGAGGAGGGCAGACGACACACAAAAGCGCCGCTCGCGATCAGCCTGCCATCCGTTCGGCTGGACCACGCTTCGAAACAGTGAAAGAGACCCAGAACTGTACAGCTAATTCCACCAATCGTCTGGGCATAGGCTGTTCGGTGTGCCAGCGCTTCCAAGGTGAACATTTCCTTGTTTCCTTCTGGCCCCTCCCCAGGGGGACCTGGACGAGGAGGCCGCGAGTCGTCAGAGCGTCCAAAACGACACAGGATGGCTTTAGAACTAGCCCAGCAGGTTACCTCCAGTACGCGCAAGATGGCGCAGGTTGCCCCAGATGGCATCCAGCATGGCTCCAAGTGGCCCCCAAACAGCCCCCAAATGAATCGTTGCCCTCGTGCAGGTGGCGCCATTGTCGCTGTGGCCTCTGCTGAATCAACGGGGTGCAGCGACGAGGGCGGCACCAACGCGCGGACTGCGATTTGTTCGGCGCGCGGAAACGGCATGTGCCTCATGGGCACCATGATGTGCGCAAACGGCAAGGTCCGCATGATCGAGATGGACAAAATGATCATCGCGGGCCGCATGGAAGCTGGCGCCAATCAAACTGGCCCAATATGATGGGATATCGTTGCGGTTGCGACTGTCGTCAAACTAGCATTTGATTCGCCCATGTCGTCCAGCGCCCCTCTGAACCAAAAAAGCCAATTACGGCTGAGACATCCTCAGGATTCGCTCTTCAACTGGCCGCGGTGTGCTGACCGCGCCAAGGGGAGAGCGACGTTTGGACGGACTTTCGGCAAGTACGCAGAAGTTCGGCGGGATTAATACCAGGTGACGTGCCCTACCCATATGAAATAAACGACCGTAACATGGGCCCATTCTAAGCGGATAGTGGCATGACACGGAACGCAATGTGTTGCGCATTCTACTTGGGACATCCGCATTGCATTCCTCACGAGGCGGAATTGAGTAAGGGGGAACCTTGGAATATGAAATCGAAACGAAATGGCGAAAAGGAGACAGGGACAGGAGGTAGGAAGGTAAACGGAAGCATGCAGGGACAGGTACGAGAAGGGAGGGGGAGGAGAAAGGACAGCACTGCGGTCTCCCAGGGAGCACCCGGGGGAGGCCTGAGAAACTGCCCCGAGCGTCTCCGAAGGGTGCCCACGAAAGCCCAGATAGGAATCCAAGAGGCCTGAGAAAAGGCCCCAGGACGGCCCTCGGCCCCTACTCCTCCTCCTCCTCCTCCTCCTCCTCCTCCTCCTCCTCCTCCTCCTCCTCCTCTCCTCCTCCTCCCCTCCTCCTCCTCCTCCTCCTCCCCTTCCTCCTCCTCCTCCTCCTCCTCCTCCTCCTCCTCCTCCTCCTCCTCCTCCTCCTCGTCGAACGGCCCCGTGAATCCAAGAGAACACCCCAGGACGGAAATTTGATGGGCTGCCTAGGTTGACGCCTCGTTTGGTTGCGAAGGGCCGGGATGACAGAGAGACATGGCGACACAGAACACGCACCCAGCGGGACGCACATTGCGATTGGGCAGGCCTGCAGCATGATTGAAGCACAGTATGGGACGCACCGCGCGACACAAATCTAGAAGCCCCTGCCGCAGCCGTTCTGGAAATGACGCCAGAGAAACGTGTTTTTTCTTCGAAGTGAGGCGAGCGTGGGTAGGACTAGCCTGCTCACGGTCTGTGACTAGCGAGCTCTTTCATGCAGATTCCTGGATTTATATCATCAGGGGCTCATCAATTCAATTCATGGAATACTGTTATAGAAGTTGCGCAACGCACCTTCAATTCCTGAGGCGAGAATGACAACTATCCCGGTGGAGAACGCAGAGTCACCAGCCGTTTATGATCGGCATTCAGCGCTCGTAGCCACGCACGGCAGCCAGAAGCGCGGCCTGCACAGATGGTGACCGCCCGTCTACCGCCCCGCTTCTGGCTCCACCGCCGATGGGTACGGTACGCAGGGGGCCTGGAGGCCCTGCCTCTGGTGGCAGAGCGAGCGCGAGAAGCCTGGCCAGCTGAGCGACTGAGCACGGCAGGCCCGCAGGCGCGGAAAAAGGCGGGGGGGGCAGACACGGGACTGGCAAAATCGCACGCTGCGAAGGTGAGGAGGCGCAGACGACCCCACTGGCCCCGAACCCACCGAGCCCTCCAGCTCCACCTCTGACGGTACTGCATGCATGTAGCCTACTATAGCAGTGATAGCGGGCGTCCTAGATTCAATCGCAACATTTGCAGTGGACCTTCAAACGTTACTGAGTTCATGCGATTTGTTTGTTTTGCACTGCGTTGGTTGGACGCGAGCAACGAAGTCTGCTTATGGGGTGAAGCTACTGGCTCATGCGCTCGCCAGCGGCTGTCGGCGAGCTCAATCGACTTCGCTGTAGAAGCATGCACCATCGCGGCCCAGGTATCGCCTTGTTCCAGGCAGGCATCCTGCGGCGCGTGTAAGCTTCGCGCAAGCAAGCCTACGAGAGTATGGTATAGGGACGGGGGGCGGGAAGGAAAGAAAAAGAGCGCGAGGGTGAGCAAAGCTATTACGCGCGCCGATTCTGGGGCCCGTCACAGTAGGCAGGCTACGGCGCGGCACCCTGCCTCCTGAGCACGTGCAACTGGCTGATCTGGTCTTGCAGGAGCCCAGCGTCGCTCACCATGGAACTACACAGCGTCTGCCGCAGCTGCGCGGTGAGCGCCTGGCGCATCTGGTCCGCAGCGGCCGCCGCGCCCGCCGGCTGGGCGGCGCCGGGCGCGGCCGCTCGGGGCGTCAGCTCGGCGATCAGCCGCCTGCCGGCCGCCCGCCGCTCCTCCGATGTGGCGAAGGCCACGTCGGCGGCGTGCCGGCCCCGACGCGCGGGCAGCTCGGCGACCTTCTGCTCCCTGTCGGCGTGTCTCTTCGCGATCAGGGCGCCCCGCTGCCGCCGCAGGTGCTCCGCCCGCTGTCGCCGCTCCTCCTCCGAGGGCCTGTCGGAGGCCGCCTGCGCCATCGGCCCCATCCGCGGAGGCCGCCTCCCTCCGGGCTCCTCGGCGCCCTCCATGGCCTGCTTCGCGCGCTGGCGCCACTCGGCCAGGTTGGAGGCCATCTCCTGCACGCTCGTCTGGGGCTGCACCCCGCTGTAGTGGCTCCTGGGCGTCTCCGGCAGCGGCGGCAGGCACTCGGGCGCTGCCGGGTGGCCGCCGTCCTGAGCTGGGCTCTCCGGCAGCTTCAGCGCCGCTGGCCGGAAGCACAGCGGCGAGGACGTGAAGCCTATCCGGGGCGGCAATGGCGCCGGCGCTTCCGCGGCCGGCCCGGGCGTTGCGGCGGCGGCGGGCGCGCCAGCCTCGGCGACTTCGGCCATCGAGGACAGCCGGACGAGCGGCGCCGACTTGAAACCCCACGGCCGCGGCTGCAGTGGCAAGACCTGCACGATCCGAGGAACTTCGACAGCCGCTGGGGCTTCGTCCTGCGGTCCGCCCGCGGGGTCGAGCCCCTCCTTGATCTGCGGCGGCAACGCCATCAGGGGCGCCGATAGGCACCCGGCCGAGGGGGGCAGCTGCATCGGCGGGGCGCCCGCCTGAACCTGCTGGAGCCGCTCCTCCTCGAGCTGCAGCTGCAGCGCGATGTTGGCCCCGAGGCGGGCCTCTTCGCACATGAGGTCGAGGTTGCTGACCATCTCGGAGACCAGGTCGCTGGCCATCTCTGCCGCCAGTTGGCTGGTCATCGTGCCGCCGAGGCTGCTGACCAGGGTGCCACCGAAGGCGCCGCCGCCGCAGGCGCTGCCGAGGGTGCCGCCCAAGTTCAAATTCTGAGACACTTCGAGGGTCATGGTGCCCCCAAACGAATTAATGGTGCGCATCAGGCTGGCGCCACCACGCATCGTTCCCGCGAGGCTGCCCGCCTTCAGAGTCGATTTGAACTGCTGATCCTCGTACATTTGCCACTCGTTATTGCTCATCTCGATCACGTGGTTGATGGAATTAGCCACCACGATGGTTGCCAAACCGCGCGTTGGTGACAGAGTTCCGTCAAGGTCTAGATCGTCATCCGCGCACTCAAAGGTGACCACCTCGCGGCAGAGCTCCGCGTTGTGCCTCACCATCATAGTCTTGAACGTCAGGAAGTCGTCCACGCTAAGCAGCTGCTCCACCAGCACCCGGTGCAGCTGCTGGTCGCCACGCAAGCCGTTGGAGCAGAATATCTCGAACTCCTCCGGCATCACGGAGACCTCCACTAGGTGGGCTACGAAGAGGTCCTGGATGAGCAGTTTGAACTGCTCGTGGCACTGCAGGTGCGCCAATTGATTCTCCTCGCCCTCCTCGAAGATGCAGCACCGCTCGTCGATGAACTGCTGGATGGGCGCGATCCACGTGGGAGACTTCATGAAGGTGACAACGTAGTCCGAGAGCCACGCCAGCTCGGCCATGTCTGTGCGCGCGCAACCCCTCCGAAGGGGCGAGGGGGCCACGGGAAGGGGGGGGTGGAAAGACCGGCGCGCACTGGCCGCGTCGGAGCCCAAAACGGTTTGAGCCAAAATGGCTGCGGAGTGACGCCAGAGAAACGTCGAAAAGGGAGAGAGCAAACGGGCTCTGCTGGAGCAGGGCGAGGGCGCGCAGGGTGGCGGGCCTGTCGAGAAGACAAGCCACGGGGATCGCTGGGGCTTGCAGGAAGAGTGCTGGGAGAACAAGGCAAGAGGGGCGACGTGACGATCGGGGAGGGCGGAGAGCAGACGGCGCAAGGGAACGTGGAAGGGGGGCGAAAATGATCTGCATGACTGCGGGCATGATCCCCAAGCCCCCAGGCGGTCCAGCACCAGAATGCGGGGTCTGAAGAACTGGGCGATGGTGCTGAACACGGTCCTGCGGCTGCGCTGCCCCATCGACGGGATCGCAACACCAGCAAACCTCACCTGGCTCTATCCAAACGTCGCTGCCGCAGCCACGGCATATGATCCTTATCCCTCCCTCCACCCATATCTCTCTCTCTCTCTCTCTCTATCCCTCTCTCCCTATCTCCCTGTATATAAATGTGTCTGCATATATACACACACATCAAAATATACACCTATCTATGTAGATATGTCTTCCCCAAGCAGTGCTTGCACCAAGGGGCTCTTACATGTTACTGAGGAACTGGGCCTGCCTGTCGGTCTGGCGGCTATGTTGCCGCCGTCGCCGCCCCCGTCGCCGCCTCGTCGCCGCCCGTCGACTGGGCCTGTCTGTCGGTCTGGCGGCTATGTTGGCGCTGTCGCCGCCCCGTCGCCGCCTCGTCGCCGCCCGTCATCCAGGCCTGTCAGTCGGTCTGGCGGCTATGATGCCCCCGTCGGTCTGTCGGTCTGGAGGCCATGTTGCCGCCATCGCCACCCCGTCGCGGCCTCGTCACCGCCACATAGGTTGCTCCACATGGAGCGCACAAAATAGATTACACCACATAGATTGGATGACATATGCTGCACCGCATAGATTGCAAAACATACATTGCGTGACATAGACATTACAACATAGATGTACCGCATATATTGTACAACATAGATTGTACAAGATACCGTGCAACTCATATATATATATAGAGAGAGAGAGAGATGTAGACTGCACAGCCTCGATTGTTCGACATCAATTGCACCACGTGGCTTGCACACCAGATGTTGCCCCACCTAAATCGCTCAACCTTTTTGCCCCACACATATTGCACCACATAGGTGCACCGCATAGGTTGCTCCACATGGAGTGTACATCATAGATTGCACCACATAGGTTGCACAACACATGTATAGCACTGCACATACTGCCCAGCATAGGTTGCACCATGTAGATTGTGCAAGCTTTGATCGTATAACATCGATTCTCCTTTCTAAACAGGAGATAGGTACTGCCACCCTCCCCCCCGTACTCATCGATTCCCCAGGAACCTATGCAAAACACGTATGATTCGGACCCGATGTCAATCCGACCTGTGAATGCATACTATCCCAGCCAGGCCAGTATCGGTCCCCCCTCAGTTCCCCTGCGGAAAACTATACGGTGGCATTTTTGGTTATGAATTAACACTGCTTCACGGACCCCTTATAAAAAAAACCATGTGGGGCACACGCGCGCGGCCGCTGCGCGCGCATGTCGAAATCCGTCCAAACACATGGTGTGTTCAACCATTTCAACATCCCACTTCAAGAAAACGTATGAAACCATACGACTTTCTCACCCAAGAACTATGAAATGTCTGCCCGCGCGCTCTTGCCGAATCCTTCAAGAACCAATGGTTGTTCAACATTCCTGTCAACTTGGGCTGCTTGGGCAGCTTTTGCACGCACGTCGATCTCATTCAACAACGGTCGCGCGCCTGCCAGGGCCACAATCCCTTGCAAAAAATGCCATGCGGGGGGCATTCGCGCGGCCGCCGCGCGCGCAGTTCGAAATCCTTGCAAACACATTGTGATTTCAACAATTTCAAGGCCGAGCTTCATGAAATCACACGAATCGCACCATACATCCTCGACAAAAATCTACATCAAAATCAAAAGTTCTGCCCACGCGCGCGTTCCTAACCCTAAAAAACCGATAGTGTTCAACAGGTATGTCATGCGAGCGACTTATGCGCGCGCGTCGAACGCCTTTAACATCGGTCGTGCGCCTGCCAGGGCCACAATCCCATGTAAAAACACATGCGGGGCACATGCGCGCGGCCGCCGCGCGCGCATGTCTAAAACATTCCAAACACCATGTGGTTTCAACCATTTCAAGATCGAGCTCCATGACATCACACGGATCGTACCATATTTCCTCGAAAAAAAAAAAAAAACATGTCGTCGTCGTCTTCCCTCCTCCCTCGTCGTTGTCGTCGTCGGCGTCGCCGTCTTCCCTCCTTCTTCGTCGTTCGCGTCGTCGCCGTCCTCCCTCCTCCTTCGTCGTTGTCGTCGTCGTCCGTCGTCGTCGTCTCGTCGTCGTCCCTCCTATTTCGTCACCGCCGTCGTCGTCGTCGTCGGCTTCGTCGTCGTCGACGGCGTCGTCGTCGTCGGCTTCGTCGTCGTCGTCGGCACCGTCGTCGTCGGCGTCGTCATCGTCGTCGTCGGCGTCGGCGTCGTCGTCGTCGTTGTCGTCGTCGTCGAAGTCGTCGGCGGCGTCGTCGTCGGTGTCTTCGTAGTCGTCGTCGGCGTCGTCGTCGTCGGCGTCGTTGTCGCTGTCGTCGTCGGTGTCGTTGCCAAGTGCCATTTGGTACATGCCGTCACGGTCTTAAAAGGTATTGCGACCAAGTTGCGGGTGGGAGGGTGGCATGTTTGCACGAGCAGCGGAGAGGACAGCTTCAAGACAGTCGAAGTGAATTGCACCGACTAGATTGCACCACAGAGACTGCACCACCCAGATGACACCACATAAATTGTTCCACATATAACGCATGACATAGGTTGCACCACATAGATCGCACCCAACAAGTTGCACAATCTGAATATATGGATACATGTATAGCACATCGTGGAGTGCACAACCTAGATTGCACAACATACATTGTAACACATAGATTGCACCACATAGATTGCACTACATGGGTTCATCAAAATAGATATCACCACACCTATCGCAAGAAGCATAACCTGCTTGGAGTCCACGCAGGGCAAGATGTGTATATACATATATATATATATATATATATATATATATATATATATATATAAGCACATGACCACGCGCGCGCTTCGCGCGCGCTTAGGTTCTAGCGCAGTCCATGGAGCTGAGATGGAACGCAGGTGACGAAATCCTAGGCCTCCCTTTGTCCTCCCCCATCTTCCTAGTCCGAATCATCCCGAACGGCCGCCTGAGGCTTGGTTTATGGCGGAAAGGGAAAGGGGAGAGATCGAGGAGAGAGGAGGACGGAGGGATCGAGGATCGAGGGGGGTCGAGGTTTTGAACAAAATTGTTTTGGGGCTCTTGGGAATTCTCTGAAACCCTCCTGTAAGCCTGTTGAAGGTCTCGGGTGGCCTCTGGGGGGACTCTTGGAGCACATTGGGGGCGTCGTGGGGGCCTGATCGTCCTAGACTCAAAGAGGACTCTCTTCAAGCCTTTTTGGTGCGTCTTGAACCCTCTTGGGGAGCCTTTTGGGCCCTATTGGGGTCCTCTTGAACCATCTTGGGGCCGTCTTACTGGTAAGAGGGGCCAGCGCCGGAGAAACCTTGACCCCCCAGATTAACTCAAGCGCATCGGCATGGCCTTTGACGACGACCTGGCCGGGACTCAGGTAGTCGTCCTCCTTCGAACCATCCTCATGCAGATTATACTCCTTCGAACCGTCCTCCTTCGAACCGTCCTCCTTCGAACCATCCTCCTTCGCCTGAGCGTCAACCTCTTCTGCAGATTATACTCATTGTCGAGAATGTGTCAGGAGAGGGTGGAGTACGATCTCTGAAGTATTCCAAGTAGTCCTGGGTGGGCATCCAGGGTGGAACTCAAACACTTGATTATACGAGCCAGCGCCAGGACAGCCGTGACAACCATGATTAGCTCCAGCGTGCCAAGTGCGCACCTGGATGGAACACCGAGATATCGCTCGAGGGATCTTCGAAGCAGTTGTGAAACCTCTTGGAGCCTCTTGGGGGCATCCTCGGGGCCTCTTGCGGGCATCCTGTGGCCCTCTTGAAGCCTCTTGGGAACTTCTTGAGGGCTTGCTGACGGTCTCACGTCCTACATGGGATGGGAGCTCGAAATGTCGGTCGGAACTCCTCCTCTTGAGCCTATATTGGGCTCCTCCTGGGGCCCTCTCGGGCCGTCTTGGGGACCTCTTGGACAGTCTTGGGACGTCTGTGCCGTCTTGGGGCAATCCTGGCGCCTTGTAAGCCGCATTGGACGCTGCTTAGAGCCCCAAAGCGGATATACTACACATGCACGCGTTCCTCTGGGGATGGCACGATGTTGGTCCTCTTTGGGTTCTCCTGGGGGTGCTCCTGGAGCTTTCTTTTCTTTTGTGGGCGCCCAACGCCATCGAAAGCGCGCGCGCTCGCTTGTGCTGCGTTGTGCGCGGGCGCAAATTTCGCGCCCGCGCCTGGCCCGCGCGCAGGCGGGCGAGCAGGGCGCGCGGGCCGCCTCCCGCTTTCCTGCGCCTCGCGGCGCGCGGCCCCACGAGAAGGGCCCGCGCGCGCGAGGGGGGCGACGGCATGTGCCTCGCGGCGCGCGGCCCCACGCGAAGGGCCCGCGCGCGCGCGAGGGGGGCGACGGCACGCGCCTCGCGGGTGCGGACCTCGACGGCGGCCAAAAGCGGTGCATTAGGGAAGCTATCGCACTCGCGACAAGCGTTCAGGAGCGCGCATTTCGCGTCGCGAACCAGCTGCATCGCGCCCGCGCGCGCGCGCAGGAGGTGGAAGTCCAAGTCCAGAGGCCGGCGCCGGCGCGGGCGCAGGCC